GGCTGAAGGACACCGGGGCCAAGTTTATCGACGGCTTCGTCAAGAGCTAGTTAGTTTAATCAAATCGCTAGCTAGGTTGTTAATTAAATACTCGATTGGCTTAGACCCGTCATGTATCAAGCACGTTAGGTTTTAATTTGTTACCTTGAATTTTTATTAATTATTTTGTCATGATTTTTTAAAAATATTTTATTTGTAATTGTTTTTAAAAATTATAAATGAACGGTGAGGTGAATTCCTCTCCTCTTTTATTGTTGTTATTGCTATTTTATTATCAGTTCTTTCTTTAATTTGTTGTGGACGTGGCCGAAGCGCTTACTGGGACTAAGATCGTAAGGCAACAATATCAAATAATAATAGAAAAGAATTATGCGTGTTAGTTCTAACTTTCAGCTAGTGTTATTTCTAATATAAGCGTAAGTTCTAGTGATATGTTAGTTCTAGTTGAGCCCTTGTTAGTTCTAGTTGTTCTCGTGTTAGTTCTAACTGATGTCATATTAGTTCTAACTTCTAGCTAGTGTTATTTCTAATATAAACGTTAGTTCTAGTGGTGTGTTAGTTCTAGTTGAGTCCATGTTAGTTCTAGTGGTTCTCGTGTTAGTTCTAGCTGATGTCATGTTAGTTCTAGCTTCCAGCTAGTGTTATTATAATATAAATGTTAATTCTAGTGGTATGTTAGTTCTAGTTGAGCCCCTATTAGTTCTAATTGTTCTCGTGTTAGTTCTAACTGACGTCATGTTAGTTCTTATTTTTAGCTAGTGTTATTTCTAATATAAGCGTTATTTCTAATATAAGTGTTATTTCTAGTGGTATGTTAGTTCTAGTTGAGCCACTGTTAGTTCTAGTTATTATCGTGTTAGTTCTGACTGATGTCATATTAGTTCTAACTTTCAGCTAGTGTTATTTCTAATATAAGCATTAGTTCTAGTGGTATGTTGGTTCTAGTTGAGCCATGTTAGTTCTGGTGGTTCTCATGTTCTAGCTGATGTCATATTAGTTCTAACTTCCAGCTAGTGTTATTTCTAATATAAACTTTAGTTCTAGTGGTGTGTTAGTTCTAGTTGAGCTCCTGTTAGTTCTAGTGGTTATCGTGTTAGTTCTAGCTGATGTCATATTAGTTCTAACTTCCTGCTAGTGTTATTTCTAATATAAGCGTTACTTATAGTGGTATGTTAGTTCTAGTTGAGCCCCTGTTAGTTCTAGTTATTTTCGTGTTAGTTCTAGCTGATATCATGTTAGTTTTAATTTTCAGCTAGTGTTATTTCTAATATAGGCGTTAGTTCTAGTGATATGTTAGTTTTGGTTGAGCTGTTAGTTTTGGTAGTTCTCGTGTTAGTTTTAGCTGATGTCATGTTGGTTCTACTTCTAACTAGTGTTGGTTCTAATATAAACGTTAGTTCTAGTGACTATGTTAGTTCTAGTTGAGCCTATGTTAGTTCTGGTGGTTCTCGTGTTAGTTCTAGCTGATGTTATGTTAGTTCTAACTTCTAGCTAGTGTTATTTCTAATATAAACGTTAGTTCTGATGGTTCTCGTGTTAGTTCTAGCTGATGTTATGTTAGTTCTAACTTCCAGCTAGTGTTATTTCTAATATAAGCGTTAGTTCTAGTGGTTTGTTAGTTCTAGTTGAGCCCATATTAGTTCTAGTGACTCTCGTGTTAGTTCTATCTGATGTTGTGTTAGTTCTAAATTACAGTTAGTGTTATTTCTAATTTAAGCGTTAGTTCTAATGGCTATGTTAGTTCTAGTTGAGCCTATGTTAGTTCCGGTGGTTCTCGTGTTAGTTCTAGCTGATGTCATGTTAGTTCTAACTTCCAGCTAGTGTTATTTCTAATATAAGCGTTAGTTCTAGTGGTATGTTAGTTCTAGTTGAGCCCCTGTTAATTCTGGTGTCTCTCGTGTTAGTTCTATATAATATCGTGTTAGTTCTAAATTGCAACTAGTGTTGTTTCTAATTTAAGTGTTAGTTCTAGTGAGTTAAGTTAGAACTAACATGAAGTGAGTTAGAAGCAACATAAAATGAGTTAGAACTAACAAAGAGCCTAAGAGCCCTAAGGCCCAAGGCCCCATCAAAGATCTTTAAATATATATTATAGTTGTAGGGGTTTGAACTCCTGACCTCCTCTCTAAATTACCAAGCTTTACCACTAGACCAAGTAGCTAAAGTATTAATGTTAGTTCCACTTAAAGTTAGCTCTTATTTTTTATTAAATCTAACATGAAATAAGTTAGAAATAACATGATATAAGTTAGAACTAACATTAAATAACTTAGGACTAACATGAGTTATTGCTCATGATAGAGTTTAAAAAAGGACGAAAAATTTCCCTCCATTTTTTCAGTCAGATCACATTAATGGGACGTGACTTTCCATGTTTTTGGGAACCAGAGACGTCTGGAGAAGATAAGTGGAGGGACAATATCGAGTTTTTTTTTCAAAATACAATTTTTTTTTGTACTGCTAACGTGGAGGGGTCTTGAAACATTAAATGCTACTTTTGGGGGCTGAATCACATGGGCCAAAATACAAGGGGCTAGATCACATGGAATTTCTACTTTTGGGGCCCCGACACAATTTTCCCTTAATAATATAATAACATATTAAATACCAATATTTAATATGTTAATAATGTATTATATAATAAATAAATAATAATAAAATATAAATAAACTAATAAGAAATAATAAAAAAGTTATTGATAATAAATTATATAATAATGTTATAATAATATACTGTACAATAGTATAATCTCCATAATATTATTACCTTTTTAATAAATAAATTATAATAAATTAACAATTATAAAATATTAATATATTATGTAATAAATAATATAATTTGTTATAAAGTAAAATAAATTTTAATAATAATATTGCTAACAAATGTTAATGTAAAATTCATAATATTATTAAAGTACTATTAATAAACTCTAACATATTAAAAACTATAATATATTATATAATATTAAAATATTTTTAATAAATTAATTTATTAATAACATACTACTAATAACATAATATTAACATTATTAATAATATTATATTATATGAATAATAGTATAATATTATATTAATAATAAAATAACATAATATTATATTATATTATATTAAATATATAATTATTTAAAAATAATATGTAATAATTATAATATAATATTAATTATATATAATATAATTAATTATAATATTATTATATTATAATTATAATAATTATAATATAATAATAATTACATATAATATAACTCATTAAATTACAATATAATATTATAATACATTATACAATATTATATTGTATTACATTTAATACTTATAATATTATAATAATGTAGACTAAATATTATAACATTTTATTTATAATATATTTTATTATAATTAATATATAATATATTAATAATATGTTTAATACTAATGTTATAATGGGTCAAACTAGTGTTGACCAAAAATACTTAACGTGGTGTTTTGAAAACATTTTAAGGTAAAAATACAACACAATGATGTTTTTTTTACAAGAACACAAGGAAAACACCATGGTATCTAAACGAAGCCTTAGATAGTCTTAAATCAATTTTCTAATAAAATATTTGAATAAAAACAATCCAACATAATTATTAAGGAAATTTCATTTATCAATTTAAATACTATTTAAAAATTAAATTCTTTAACGAAATGAATATTCTTTGATATTCGATAAATATTCCTGAGTATTCATGAATATTTATCAAATATTGATTAGTCAAGTTCGAATGCGAAAAAAATGCTTTTATGGATTTTTGAATTTGGGTTCGAATTCAATAATTTTAAATAAATACAAAAACGAAAGCCTTAGTATTCGATTCGATTCGATCGTGACTGATGAATGGGTATTAGAGAATGTCGATCATAGATATCAAGACTAATGTTATATGAGATATGCACCGGACGATCTGGATATATATTGTTTAAGTTGCATATGCAATCTGGATCATTTTGGAGGGAAACTAAAAAAAAAAACCGTGAAAAGTATATAGTAAATTCAGAAATGACTTAATTATTACAAATACATCCAATTGAAATGAGAAATGATGATAGAAGACCACTTAAAAGTATATCAAATAATGTCTTAAAAGTATATCAAATAATGCTTTGTCAACCTTTAATGAAATAAAAGTATTTTGTTGGCTAGTTTTCAAATATTCTGTAACAGCAATATTCAGATGATTGAGTTACTAAGCAAACTAAAGTAAATATAGCTTGAGTTGTCATATAAAGCATGCCTTGACTCTATCATGATAAACACTGCACATTCTATATGTGTATGCATATACTGGCGCATACTGATTATGTGATGACATAAATCTTTTTTATGCCATCGCAATTTTTTTCCCCGCACTTGAGCCTAATGTGGGTAGTACCTGCAGTTTTCTTTTGCCTACACATAGGCAGTCACATAAAATTTCTTCAGTGTGAAGTTATTTGGACAGAAGGCTGTTATTTTCTTCGACTTGATAGTCTTTGAATCTCTTCCTTCCATTACTTGGCTTCCTTGACTCTGTCTCTCAGCATCCTAATAGGAGGCAAAAAGTACATGGAACTTGTTGGGGGCTAAATACCTTCTTTACGGTTTGTTTCTTTCCATAATTCTATCTGTTTGCCTAACTTTAGCCTCAGATATTTTATCTGAATAATTATTATTATTATGCCCTAAGAACTTATATTTTTACATGCAGAAAGAAAGCTAAATATTGTATACAAGTGCAATATCATGTTTCTAATACTCCAAGCAGCACACTGAACTGTTAATTATTATGACACCTTATGCCCTGCCCATGGTATCATTTGTCTTCTTATTCAAAGTAGCATTTACTACTTGACATAAATTATTAGTTCTACCGTGTATTAAGACACAGCTACAGATTTGAGCCCATATCTTGTTGCTTACTAATTGATGATTAAGTTATATTTTCAGTCTAAAATATTATTATGACAATCATGTTTTCTGTTTTATTGAAATTTGTTTTTCAGGCCTCGAAGTTGTCCTAGCTGATGGAACCATTCTTGACATGCTTACAACTTTACGCAAAGACAATACAGGATACGACTTGAAGCACTTATTCATTGGTAGAATCTTTAGAGAAGAGGCACCTTTTCATGTCTACGATACTATATGAGGATAAATTAAATGCATTACATAATTGGTGTAGGAAGTGAAGGTACATTGGGGATTGTCACGAAGGTCTCAATACTCACCCCTCCTAAGCTAGTATCAACTAACGTTGCGTTTCTTGCTTGTGAAGACTTTACAAGTTGTCAGGTATTATAACTTTTCAAGATTTAAAAGGTCCTATGGAATAAAACTCTTAATTGGATAAATTTTTTCTCCAGGAAAACTAGCTTTGGTGTTTATCAGGTTTAACACCAATATTTTCGGTTTCATTGGTATCAATATATCACGAATAGGAATACCCCTAAAGAAAGTTTCCTCGCTATGCCATGTTGACCTGTGTGCGAAACTTTTAGTTAAGAAAACATACTGAAGACGCAGGAAGGCAGTCCTGTTTGAACTTCTTCAGGTCTCCTCCTCAAGCTGAGATAACAGTCACATGAATTGGATGGATCAAGAAAGAGGAGAAGTTATGGTTTAGATCATTAGTTAAGACGGTATGAATTTGTTATAATGCGAGCATTTACTTGTATGACAAGCTGGCAGGACCAAACACAGATTCACAAAGATGATACAAATGTTCTTCCCTACCCTTTTCTTGACTAATATATGAGCATACTGCTGCTATTTTATTTTCTGTGTCTGGGTCACTTCATCTTAGTGACTTCCAGATATTGGAAGAATATATTGCCACCAATAGATAGTGGTGACTATACGTCTCTGATTTGGATGCTACTTGAGGGGGATGCAAGCACCCAAACATTGCTAGCAAACTGAGGGCTGAGTTCAATGTTTTATTTTGACATACGAGGTTGAATGTTTAAAACCCAAATGGAGTCCTTAAACAGCAGAGGGGCATAGATGCTAAAGAAGGTATGTAACTAATAGTTTGATTGTGCATTCTCTTTTGTGGTAGGGTGTATGTTTGAGTCAGAGATAGATGAGCAACAATGCTCTAGTTCCTGTTCTGCCAAGATGAGTTACTGAATCTTAAAGAAAATAAGGTATCTGAACACTCTGTCAGTTACTGGACTTATGATCAGCATAGTAAACCTTGTTCTATAAGGCAAAAAGATAGAAGGTAATGGTTATATTAATCAAGCAATAAAGGAGTTCTCTGCATGCAAAGTAAAAATGCCACTGTCAACAGATTATCATATAAGTAACATCAGGGAGATGATAATGTGTGCGTGCATGCGTGTGGTTGTGCGTGTGTGTGTCTGCATCTGCGTGTTCATGTGCATGTGCTTGAGATGATGATATGTGTGCCATTGTAGTATTTTGGGGATTATGCCTGGAGTTTGATATTCTACATACATCCTGTAGTAAATGTGCAGACCATCAAGTTCTTAGCTTATTGTCTAATAATTGTTGATTATACGATCTTTAATCAAGTTGCAGGATAAATGGTCTGCATATTGGTTCCAAAAGAGTCATGGTTAGATCGTTTATACACCTAAATGCAGGCCTTATGCACTTCATTAACATACTCACATGTCAATGCTTTCACATTTATTTTTTTATCCTTAAGCTCTGTTGTGATAAAGCTAAAATCTTTGGTTATTGCATTTATATTTTAAAACATGGATATCGTTTTATATTATTTCCAGAAATTACTTTTGGAAGCCAAGAGAGGCCTAGGCGATGTCATTTCTGCATTCGAATTTATGGATAGCCATTCAATGGACATGGTAAGCTCATTTGTACTACAAATATTTCTTGCATTTGTTCCCTCCTGTTGTCATTAAAGTTCTCATCAGTGAGGTTTTGCTTTTATTATGCTAAACAAATAATTTTTACCCCTCCATATATACATTGTCAGTCCTTCCATGTTTGGTATTTGCTTGTCAAATTGGTCAATTTCATGTGGTTTAGATCCATATCATAATTGGTTGATATTGATTTATATATTTGAATTTAGTAAATCATTTAATCCTTCAGTATTTGTGGCTTATGAAATTGATTGCCAGTACTTTCTATATGCTGCTCCAAAGTGAATGCATACACACATTAAAGACTGAGTCTGTTTGGCCTGAAGATTGCAATGTCGTATTTTCAAATATAGTTTTAGGCTTTAAAACTATAGTCTGAAAATTTCTTGAAGAAAAATGAGGAGTGTGTCATATGTAGACTTTTCTTCTGTTGTGGATTTAAGTGCCGGATGATGTCACAACTACAATTTTAACAAATTAGATGAGGAAGGAGCCTAAGGCCAAAGTAAATGCAAAACAATTACTTGTATATTGATGTGGTAGAGGAACGAAAATGGCACTTGAGAAGGTTTCTTAGATGAGCTGATTTAGATTGAAACCAACAAACAACATCATTTCCTAGATATAAAAGGGAGATACTATATGATTAGGCCTTTTCCCCCTTTCTCTGTACTACCTCTCAGTACTTTGCTTTAATGCAGATTATTTATTGCTCTTTTATTAATGTTCTGATTAAATTTGTGCAGAAATAATTCAAAAAAAATGAGCAATAAGTTGGACTTCAATTATTTTCTTTGTTAACGATGAGCAATAAGTTGGACTTCAATTATTTTCTTTGTTGTTTACTTTCAATAATTTATGTATTCTCCTGCTAAAGTTAGAAGTGCTTATTCAATACATTTCTATTATAATATTTTATTTATTGTATGCTTATTTCATTATCTGATATTGAAGGTTTTAGGTCATGTAGAAGGTGTCCGTAACCCTTTACCTCCATCGCTGCACAATTTTTATGTTCTTATTGAGACAACCGGCAGTGATGAATCATATGACAAGTAAGTTGGACCCAATAATTTCTATTAGTTTTGCTTCTTGTTTGCATCATATTGTATGCATTTTAAATATAAGTTCCATCTCCTCCAGCTTTGTTTTTCTATGCTTTGTTGTTCAATTTGTAAAGTCTGGTTCAAATTTGTAAAATGTGCTTTTATGATGTTATTCACTACTTTGTAATGTGTAGATGTATAACTCCAGTCTCATTTATTCAAATTTGAGCTAAAAGAAAGTACATTTAGTCACTGTTTTGTTTTATTAAAGTTTTACAGTCAATGATGTCATGCCTTTTATGAAATCAATTATGAAAAGCTTTGTTCGAACATGTTATAGAGAAAGTGTCCCTTTATTGGTTCATATTCTTCAGTCATCGATAAACAATTTGTTGGACAATACTCGACACAGTTACCAAAAAAAGGACTAACCTTTCATTAATACATTTTTCTTTTGACTTTCGCTTTTTAACTTTCTGAATGACTTATTTAGGACAAAATTGAAACATGAAATTATTGAGTAGTCTACTTCCCTTCAAATGATGAATCCACTTAAAAGGAATAGTTTTGGAGTCGTAAGGGATTTACTTGTCTATGTATTGTTTTGTTCCATTCAATCTTTTAGGTCCCTACTCACCTCGATGGGTATGTCATGATGCCCCTTGAAGCATATATGCGATAGATAGACTTCAGTAACCATGCCCTATTTGCTTGCTTGAATAGAATCTCGTCTATAAATGAAGTGTAATGGCTAATTCCACGAAAAAGTCTTTTTTTTCCAACAAGGTATAACTAGCAATTCCTATTAATCTGTTATGGAATTGACCATGGATCAATTCCCCTTTCATTTGGAAGTGTCGAATACACCCAAAATTCTGAGCTTCATGTTACTCCCTCAAAGACACACGTCAATTAGTTAATATTGATACTTCAAAGGGGTTACCTGGAATGATAGAACAAAAATTGATTCATGAAGGTTTAATTACTGAATCATTTCCCGATGGTATGTTCTGCTCAAGTCTCTAATAAATTCAAGGACATATTCGAAGAAATTCTGACCATCGGTTGGCTTGGTTTGTGGATTCCGAGCAGCTATGATGATTAATGACTGAACCTAATAAGATAGTAATTACGACCCAAGAAGTGATAAGTGCTTGGGCATGAATTTGTAAACATGACTGAACCTAATAAGATAGTAATTACGACCCAAGAAGTGATAAGTGCTTGGGCATGAATTTGTAAACCTCCTATTTGCCAATATAAATGTTGGCCTACTTCTATACCTGATATATTGTATAACCCTTTAGTGTTTAATGGAACATGGCATTAACATTCATATTGTCCTCTGACTGGTGTCCATTTATTGGTTATCTTCTAGCATTCTCATTGTTGGTTGGGCTGATTGTTGTATGAGTATCCGATCAAATTCCAAATTCACTTCAAATTTTTCAAAAATAAATATCTGATTCCTACTATTTTCTGTTATTCAGAATTACCATATGTTCCTTGTAGGTTGGATAGAAGAATAATTTGCAATTTATATTAAGATTATATAGCTTGCTTCCAAGAAGTACTGATAATTATTTGATCACAAAATCACTTATGATGATTTTAGGCATTTTATGAAGAGTTATTTTTTAGGAAGAGATTGCGAAAGTGCAAGCGATGGTACTAGCTCAATTTTGTTTTGTTGACCATACGTTACTATTTTAGATGAAAATACAAATATATGCATAGAGTTGTGTCTGAAGAATTTTTGCAGTATTGGAAAGTTTCTTAGAACCTCGAATCTTGAGGTATTTGCAAGCCTGGGTTTCTTCCAATGCAGTTGCCACTTTCCAATAACACTTTAGTTTTAAGGAAATGAAGAAATGCATAATAATGTTATCAAAGGAAATGATGACTTCTTCAAGTGCTTGTCTAGCATTTTCATGAGTCCATTACTGGAACAGACAAAAATAGGAACGCGGAGAGTGAAGGCTACTACCTCAACGTCAGAATGGTTCAAAACCGTCAAATATATAATAGATGCTAACATTTATACTAATAAAACTCCATGCCTTGCATGAGACTTCTCTAGAAGAAACAATGTAAAAAGCTAATGCTCCTCAAAAAATGAAAAGGAATCAGACACATGTTACTTGGCTTGTTATCCTACTACTCCATAGGTCACATGTCAGGTAAGTTTCCTCTAGAGTTTTTAACCAAATAAATGCTTTTATCCTAGTCACGATTACTTGTATTTAACTCTGTTGTGACGTCCCTGGGTTCACACAAGGCTGCAGTCCAAGGTGAAACCAAGAATGTCAAACCTGTCATGCATCACACCGTGCAATAACATGTTTCACCATCACAATTAACATCTATCTAGTAGAGTCAACAACTGGTGTAGGTACAAAACATGTAAAAGATAATACAAGGAATACTGATGAAATGATAATAGTCACATAAATATCTCATCATCCAACGATCCAACGTACAGAAATACATAGTCAAGATCTGAGTAGATAAACTGGAATACTCAACAAGTCTCAAATACCAATATCTGGCAAAAAAAGAAATAAGGCACACAGCCTTTACAACTTCTAGAATAAGACTCTCAAATGTCTAAACAAAAATCTACTGTGGAACTCCAGAAGAAAATATATAACTAAATAGACGGCGGAGGTTAAAATGCATCCCCATCAACCTGCGACTCTCCGGCTCCTGGCTCGTTACCTGAAAGGGGGAGGGACAACAAGCGTCAAAGCGCTAGCGAGTAACATCACAACCAACCCCAAGGGAACATGGCTCGTTGTATAAGAAAATACAGTTAATATATAAGAGATCTAAAATCATTGATCTTACTAAAGAGGGTTTTAGTATTTAGAAATTTACAACACGAGCATAGGTACGTCGAGCGAAATAATCCAAACAAGGAAACCCTCATGTATATACCTTGTATCTCAAATTGTAAATCTCTAAATACCAAACCCGAGATTCTAGTACAGTAACAATAATAAAAGAAATACGACAACACACCAGAGCATAAATACAGTGCTGTGACATGGCCAACATGAGTATCATGTTATTACTTACATGAATATCATATCAAAATCTACATAAGTGTCATGTCAAACTCACATGAGTGACATGTCAGAAAACGATTAAGTGTCCAAAACATAGACTATATAAATTAAACGTCCAACCCATAGACTGCGTGAAGTAAACGTCCAACTCATGAACTGAATATAACCGTTGTCCAACGCATGGACCAGATGTGACCGTTGTCCAACGCATGGACCGGATGGTAATGTATATCCAGCACGAGGATCAAATAGCAATGCATGTCCAACACGAGGACTAAGTGGGAAGGGTGTCCAACACGAGGACTAAAAGGTAATGCTTGCCCAACACGAGGACTGAGAAATGGTAAAAATATCGCTGAGATACATAGTGAAATCTACCTATATCAATTCACAATCAAATCAGTGTGTATATCCACATTTGGTACCCTCAGGTCATCTATCATGCATGGATACATAATAAGACTAAAAACCAGAGTCAGATGATCCAGGCAAAATCTCAAATATGAGAAAAATACACAGAACAGGAAAATTGCAACACTGATACGAGCCTGGCGGTCGACCGTAGGCATTTCGGTCGACCGGCAGAACGTCGCGGTCGACCGCAGACAAATTCTGCCCCTACAGCGAGCTCAGCGGTCGACCGCACCGGTCGACCGCCAAGCGGACAGAAACCCAAATTTGGGTTTCTGTCAGCTCGAAACCTGAAATAAAATTTTACATCTCTCTACGATAACAGGAGTTCTAATGTTCAAAAATCATACAGAAGATAAACAACTAAACCCAAGACTGAAATCTACATTTCCAATATTCTAAATACATGAGAAAACAATTCAAAAATGTTTTAATAACAGTAAAAATGATTTAACTCTTGTTTAGGCAAATTTCAGATCTAGATCTTTATAAAACAGAACATTGGTGAACT